TCTCCCATTAGAATATTTTAATAAATCATATGTTTGTTAAGTTTTTCCATATTTACTAAACATATATTCACTTATCAAAGCTTTATCTATAATTTTAACAAAGTAAGATTGAAATAATATTCATGTAACAAAAAAACTCGAAAACCTAAAAAACCAGACAAAATCGAACCAATCCAAACCGATATAGTTGGTTTGGTTTGATTTTGATAAAAACCGAATCAAACCGGTCAATGTACACCCCTAATATTGAGTATTATTGTTGTTTTTCAGCTTTAACTAAGTATTGTCCAAACGTCATTACTATAGTATTTGGACATAAATTTCTCTTAAAGAAAAAAGTAGAAAATTTGTGAGATGAATACCATTATTTTACTTGAAATAATACTCCTCAAATAATCTTTTTAGTATTGTATCATCATTTCAAATATCGACTATATATTGTTCATTAATTTGTGGAGTTTGTTAATATAAAAGAGTGAGGGAAATGGTTCCCAGTGGGAATCATTTTTTCCCTTTTTATCCTGTAAATTTTCCTCAAAGACAAGAAACTTTTCTTTCAGAAAATATAAAGGAAAAGTTCAAGATTCCATAAACTAAAGATATTCTTTCCAGAATCTCAAACAAGGAAAATGAGAATAAGATAAATATTGAACATAATCTATATGGAGAAAAAGAGAACACGACGCATTTTTTATCCTACAATAGAAAAGATAGGGCACTCCTGATAATCACAAAAATGTGAAGATTTTTGTGGTACTCACATTGTTGTGGTGATTCAGATTTGAGATCTATAGGTATGGTGTGTGATTTTGTTTTCTACTAGAAAAATGGTTTAATGGCCTTTAGGAATTTCATAAATCAATGTTGTCCCCTTTAAGTGAAACTGTGGACCACTGTCCCCATAAAACACCAAACTTTGTGTACAGTGACATGTTACCTTAGTGTTACTAGCAGTCATCTGCTACTACAAAATTTAAAAAGTAAAAAAGATAACTCGTTGTACAACGTATTCTGCATTCACTTAGGGTCCAGAGAAGAGTCGCATCTCAAAAGAGCGTGATGTAGATAGTTTATCCTAATGAAAGAATTAGTGCCAGTGACGGAGCCGCATGCACCCAAGGGGAACCGACACCCATTCGTCGAACGGTTATTTAAAAAATATATATATATGTATATATGTATGTATATATACTATATAATGACACTCCTTGACTTCTTGGTGCGTTTATTTCTTTATATTTTGACTCCCCTAAATGAAAATCCTGATTCCACCACTGATTAGTGGCTGCTTTTACGGCTTGACCGACAACCCACACAGAAACAACTTTATCGTTGCACGAATATTAACCAACAAATAATATTACCCACTAATTAAAAAGACTTTTAAAATACTCCTATAGTAGCTAGTTTAAAATACAATGTGTAGTGAATAGTTTAAAATTCAGAGCTTTTTGGAGTCTTTCTTTGCCAGCTTCCATTCTCTTTCTAATTCTTCTATTCTATCCCTTCTCCACCTGTTTCACTTCAAACTTCCATAAAAGATTCCACCCTGCAGGTTCCCTTTTCTTTATTTTTTAAACCAAAACCTCTATTGTAATTTGTGATGTAATTCAAAAGTTGTGGTAAAACCCCCCTTTAATAATCATGTAAAGTCAAGTATGCCCTCTTGCTTGCAAAGTAATTACCGAAACACCATTAAAGTGGACCATTTAAAAGCAAGTGGAAATAAAACACCCCCACAGAATCATGTTCTCTCTGTAAAAGAACAGACTTTTCTTGATCCACTTGTTTTCCTAAATGAATCAAACTTTTCTAAAATGGCTTGAGGACGAAATGTGTCAATCAAATTTCCATTTTAGTATGTGAGAATAGTTGAAACTTGAAACTTCAGTCTTACCAAATTAACACATGATCCGCAACTAATTATTTGTTTTTGCTTTGTTTCTAAGGGAAAATAAAGATGTGAGGTAAAGCATTTAAAGTTAGTTACATAAAGACAATATTATAAGCCGACCAGTACTACTTTAAATAACTGTCTGCCTACCTAAGGCAAAAACCACCTGCATTAGGGGGAAATTAAAAACATAAGATAAATATGGTTGTTTTCCTGATATTATTAATCTCTTTCGGGAAAAACTTCGCAGTTTTGATATCCTATTTCATCTAATTCATGTGACGTAATTGGTCTTTTTAAGGTCAAAATTGAAGTAGCTTTCAGTTTTAATAACGAATTTCGGAACATTAAACTTTGAGATTAATGTAAAAACCACACACTACACAGAACTATATTTCGTTGAATATTTTCGTGTGAAATTTGTTTATACTATGATCGGAGTTATAAAACTTAACCAAAAAGTTAAAATTGCATAATAGTGTTCATTATTTCTTTTCAGTTTTGAAATTTTCTAATCTATTATTCACCCAAAATACAACAGAACTGTACAGTAGCGGACCCAAAATTTTGTGCAAGCGGGTTCAATCTTAGAAGTATATAACTTTAATCGTAAAATAGTAATTGTCAAGTGGGTTCAAATAAATATTTATACAAAATTTACATAGCTTTAATCCTAATTTATACATATACACAATATTATTTTTTGGTGAAACGGGTTCAGTTGAGCCGGCTAGCTACTACTTGGGTCCGCCACTGGTACTGTAGGACGCGGATTTCTTTTCTTTCTAATTTGTATTCCTAGTTATATATAGAGAGAGTACAATATCAATATTTTGAACTAACTAAACTAGCATGTATATTTGCAAAAGGATATGCATGGCACGTGCTAGGCTAAAGTTTCCTTACAATAATAGCTGTCTAGCTGGAAAATATTTTCAATGAAAACATATATTTATAAGTTTTATGGATCTTACAGTTTTGTTTCTATTTTGCGTGGTAGGTATTGGTGACAATTTGAGCTCTAACCCATCTAATCCGTCCAACTCGCCCAGAGATTAATGAGTTGAGTTACAAATATTTTAGCTCATGGGTTAATTTGGGCTGAACCCAAGTTAATCCATTATATTTTATAGCTCATTTTGACCCATTAAGCAGCCCAAATGCAATCCATGAAACTCACCCAAAACAAAAGGTATCTCAACCCAACTTATATAGAAATTTATTTAGTTGCCTCAATTTTACTCTTTTTTTTTTGTATTTTTAATTTATGGGTCAAGTTGGGCGGGTAGGGTTATGACCCATTGTTTAGCCCATCTTAACCCAAGTACACTTTGGGTTGGGTTGAGCAATGACCAATTTATTGACCCAACCCATTTTGAACCGCCCAAATTCAGCCCAATTCGCCCATTTACCACCTCTGGTGGTAGGAAATATTTACGATATTTAGATAATATCAACTGACAGAAATGAAATCCACTAATGCACACTAGTAGAGGAAGTATCACTATAAACGTTAAAATAATCATGGAACTAAATATTAGTATGTGTTTGTATTATTTGAACTTAGCAACTAGACCTTTATATTAAAGAAAACAAATAAAGAAAAAAATTAGGAGATTGAAGTAATTGGAGTAAGATTTTGTTAAAAGTTTGTTATGGAAAGAGAGGACCCCAAATACGATTGCATTGCCAGCAGTTTGAGAACATCTGAATCAAATGGATTTGAAAGATAATGTATGATTACATATTAATTATTAGTAATATAAATTAGTGTACATTGTATCATGATGATTCATGAGTGATTTTCGTGGCTCAAAATCTTTAAATTGACGGTTTCAACAAATCTTTTCTTTTGAACATCAAATCTCTATAATTAACGACATCAATCGTCATTAATCTTCTTCCTTTTTCTTACATAAATAGAAAATAAATAAGATTTTGATCTTATCATTGGGTTTAAACATTAACGGCGATATTAAATTAATATATCATTCTTTCGATCAAAATTATTTTTCTGTCGTTATTCGTTTTTGCCTTTTTAATCTCTTCTTGATTTCTCTTACTCAATCTTGAGGAGTTACGAAGTTATATTTAGTCAATTAAAATTCAAATTCAGTCAAATGTCTTGATCATAAAAGAAGAATGCACCGTTTGGTCAAGATGATTTCAATGAATGAGAAGTAAAATCAAAGAGGTTGCTGGTAGGCAATTTTTACTTCCAACCAAGAGGTTGTGAGTTCGAGTCTCCCCAAGAGCAAGGTGAGAAGTTCTTGGAGGGAAGGATGCCGGGTTTCTATTTGGAAACAGCCTCTCTACCCTAGGGTAGGGGTAAGGTCTGCGTACACACTACTCTCCCCAGACCCCACTAAGTGGGATTATACTGGGTTGTTGTTGTTGTTGTTGTAGAAGTAAAATCAAAGCATAAAAATGATCCTCATCTATTGCCATGAACCACTCGCATGGATTTGTATCATAACTACATAATATCTTTTACAAAAACAGATTTCGACTAATTTCTAGAAATATGGAAAATTTTGTGCATTTGACAATAATGAAAAAGAAAAAACATGTACTCCTACATATCAAGCCTTTTTGATGTTTTTAGTAGTGACATTTTTTCCTTAAACGATCAAATAAAGATATTTTCTTTATAATAGCTTAATTGTCACGAAATTAAATAAAAAAATAACGACATATTTTTTTTGTCGACAAGTAAAATGAAAATTATCGTTTATATGATACAAATGTGTAACAAAACAAGCCATACAACTAAAAACGGAGTTCAACTAAAAGGAAAAAAAAAAATGGAGAACCCGACCAAGAAACAATTAATCTGAATTGATCATATGATAAAGAACAGAATTGTCCGATCAAGTAGGACCAGAAAAGGTACGTACTTTGTATCAAATCTTTCTCACTCTCAGACCCATTCATGATTTATTGTTTTCTCCATTTATGAAATTTTGTTCTTTCTCTTCTGCAAAATAATTATAGATACAGACATAAGTCCACGTGAGTAATTCTTTCTCATTCAGAAGGATATTCCTGTCATTTCACTTCCCTCCCCTTGACCGTCTCATAACTCTCCCCTCTGTCATTTAATATCGCGCCATGTCCCTTCCATTCCATTCTTTCCAGCTCAAAAATCCTCATCCTCCACAATCTCACTCAAACTCTCCCTCTCTCCCTCTCTCTCACACACACACACCAAAAACAAAGATTTTTAGACATGCACGTATACATTTGTATTAGTATGTATTTCTATATACATATATAGAGTGCCAACTTTGAACAGGCTAAGGAGATTAGAAATGGCGAGTGGTTGGGTGAAGTCATGGCAATGCAAGTCAAGAGCTTTAGACGATGTCGTTAACAATCACCACCACCACCAATATCATCACCTTTTACCCAACTCCGCTAGTTGCAAAAATGGCGTTAAAAGCCTCAGAGATGTAGTGGACAACACCAAAAACGGAAAACCCAGAAAGAAAAAAACATCAAAGCCACCAGAACCGCCGTCAACAAAACGACCCGGTTCTAGAGTACCTGAACCCGGTTCGAATAGGGAGAAGTCTCGGGCTAGTACTTCCACGAGATTATCACGTGCCGCGACGGAGTCTTTCTTGCCGGCGTTGACGGAGTTACCGGAAGGCCACGCGTCGCGTAATGTTGTGGAGATAATTTTTCAGACGAGTTGGTCCGGGTCCCCGAAGGTATTTTCGGGTCGGATTGAAATGGTTTTCAAAGTCCAGAACCTGCCCCGTACAGTAACCCGGTTCGAAGAGTATAGGGAAGTCGTGAAGTCTAGGGCCGGCAATGGGGCGGCGGAGAAGGGTGGCGAGGACCATGCAAGGTGTGTTGCGGATGGGAATGAGGTGATGAGGTTTTACTGCCTAGGGCCCACAAACGGAGGCGCCTACGAGAACGGAGGCAGCGCGTGGACGTTCTCGACTAATAAGACGGCGGTGTGCACGTATTCCGGCAGTGGTGGGGCCCACGAGAATGCCGGCGGTGGAAGGGGAAGACGGGCTATGTTGGTTTGTCGGGTCATTGCGGGTCGGATTTGCAAACAACTCGGGTTTGACTCGTTGCTTGAAGGGCGAGTTGGGTATGACTCAGTGAGTGGGGATAATGGCGAGTTGTTAGTATTTGATTCACGTGCCGTATTACCATGTTTCCTTATCATCTATAAGTTGTAAAAAAGAAAGAAAATTTCAAGAAGTAAGACCTTTTTGGCTTTAAATCTCCAAATTTTCTTTCTTTTTTTTTCTTCCTGATTTTCCTGGTAGTATATCTCTTATTTAATTTTTTGGTGTTGTAATTAAGCAATATTTGGTATAAATACTTCTTTTAGCCTTTGTTTGCATGTCGCAATATTTTTCAGTCAATGCTATAATTTGAATTGGGTAGGTTTAGACATTCTATTCGCGTTTAGAATTGTAAGAACAAAGTATGAAATCCGATCATGTAGGATAGAGTTAATATTGTCAGAATAATTTTCATACTGTGGATTAAATTACAAAAAGAAAAAGCCTTTTTTTTTGAATTACCAACCTGTTTTTACTATGCTGTTTATGCTTTGATTTATGGTTTCTCTACGAAATTAATTTTTGGACTCCAATAATTGATGCCTATAAAATAAGGATTAAGAAGGAAATTGTTATATTTCAAGAGGACTATGCTCGTGACCATAATTTTCAAATTATTTGCATTAAATGGTGTGATTATTCATATTGGGATTATTACTTTGAATATACGTTTATTCCAAATTTGTTCCATAAAGACTGGAAAACGAATATCAATGGCGGGTGCACTAGGTCCATGTTTCCTTTGTGTGTTTTAATTGTTTTTCTAATCTTGATACAGGTCTTAAAAAGTAAAGAAAAGTGTTAAATGATGATAATAGATTTTCCATATTGGTTTTAGGACTAAAATAGAACCAGTTAATGTGGCAGACATGTCAAATCAACATACCTAAACAAGCCTAATCATAATGGTTAGGACAAATGAGTTCAAGTGTTCATTACACATGATTCCTACACAATGCCAGAGTTTATTGTTTATAGATCCTTCCAAATATTGGGTATAGAACAGACAGAAATAAAATCCACTCTTCTGAGCTGTCATTCAATTTCAACCAATAGTATATATATATATCTGTTTTAAATTCTAAAAAGAATTTTTTTGAACAATGCTAGATTTACCAAAATTTATGCTTTCTAGGATTTAAAAAGAAAAAAAAATATTAAGTGGTTATGATGTCAAGTAATTTTCAAGGAATGAGGTTTGCTTGTTGCTCAAAGTTGTTAAATTAGGAACTTGATTTGATTGCTTCTAAGGAGGTCGTTTGGTGGCCTTAATGAAAACTAAGTTCAGATTGCCAAAAAATAAGACATTTTAACCACATGGAACGATAAGATCATTGAGTACAAATGGATATAACGATTTCATTATATAGCGCCTATGAGTTGTCTGATAAAATGCAACAATTAACAACATACTCAAGCAGTATAACCTCATAAATGGGGCCTGAGAAGGATAGTGCGTATACATACATTACTCCTACCTTATGAAGTTAGAGAGACTATTTCCGAAATATTATAATCATTCATACCTTAATCAAGTAAATCTTCTTATGGTGAAAAAAGAAGTATAAATCTTCTTATAGTAATTACTACTAGAAATTCGGTAAAAAGCGACCACATATAACGACTAACGTTGGTCGCTTATCTCAATATACCGACCAAAACGCTTCCAAACAGGCTTGGTAGCTATATTGATGGTCCCTTTACCTTAGCGACCAAAGTTGGTCGCTAAGGTAAAATGACCAAATGTTCACTGTAAACAAAATACCGACCAACTTTGGTCGGTACAATATTTTAATAATATAAATTTAGCGACCAACGTTGGTCTGTACATTTAAATTATGATATTTTTTAAATTATTATATATCAAAAATTAGCGACCAACGTTGGTCTGTAAATTAAAATATATATTATTTAAAAAAATATATATTTAACAATCTAGGTTCATAAGCGACCAACTTTGGTCGCTTATTTTTAATTTTTTAATTTTTTTTATACATAAGCGACCAACCTTGGTCGCTAATTCCCAGAATATTTTTTTAATAAAATCTGAGTTCATTAACGACCAACCTTGGTCGTCAATTTTCAATTTTTAATTTTTTTTATAGATATAAGCGACCAACCTTGGTCGCTAATTTCCAGAATTTTTTTTAATGGGTAAGCGACCAACTTTGGTCGCTTTTCTGGGTAATAATTTTGGCATAAAATTCCTGTTTTGGCAGCTACACCACCTGCCATCATACCAAAATCCCTAAATAACAATATGATTCAATTCATAAACTACAATTTCAATACCAAAATCTCCACAACAACAACAACAACACAATTCAAAAAATACATTAAAACCAACAAATTAAAGTTCAATAGAACTAACAAAACTAAGTTAATGCTTATTACACCTAGTTCAAAACCGGTTCTATTTGTCTAGTTCAAAGTATATAAAAGTCAAGGAGTATTTTGTACAATATCATTATCATCACCGTCTGATGAACTTTCATCAACAAGACGGTATACAAAAGGGTCTACTTGTCGAGGATGGGAAGAACGATTACGAGGAGGACGGGAAAAACGAGCACGGGGAGGACGGAAGGAACGCTCACGTTCAAGTCGAGCCTCTGGCGATGACTCACGAGATCGGGGAATCGGAAAACCTCCAGAAGCTAGGAGAGATTTAAGCTGCTCTTGCAAGCCATGGTACTGAGCTTGCATGCCAATGTACTGAGCATCTCTAAGCTTTTCTCTTTCTTTGGCCGCTTCTAGCTCGGATGTGAGCTTTGTCACAGTCTCCCACATAGCGGAGAGACTCTTCCCATCAAGTTGCTTGCCTTGCGAGGAAGTCCCTATTCCTTGCATTCCACACCTATAGCGATGGAATTTCTTAGTAGGAAGCCCATACACCTTCCCCATTTTGGACCGCCAGCAGCCTCCATCCACATTCTTTCAGCATCCTCGTCCGAAGGTTGGATTGGCTCGCCCGAATCATTATGGCTAACTGCGTATGAATTCCTCCAAATCAGTTGTGAAGCGACCCTATAAGAAAAATTACATTGAATTAGTATTTCAAAATTTATATAAAAGTAAATCACAATACTTAATGAAAAGTGAAAACTTACATGTACAGTCGAGGCTCGGCACTCGACCCATCTTTCTTGATCCATCTCTTTCTTCTTCTTTACAATATGAGTCTCTTTGAATAGCTCATCTTGGTTCATTGGATGCCCCAACTTCTTTTCCTGAATACTCATAAATTTTAGTTAATAAATAGAATAGATATACTTTCCTTTTTCGCTCTTCTCTAAGAACTTTGCGGTAAGCCATTGTCTTTGCAAATCCTTCCATAAATTCTGAAGCAACCAATCAGGCTTCTGGTTCAACTTTCTAGCTTTGGAGAAACTATGCGACAACCGCTTGCAAGCTTTGTGATGAAAATTTGCAGTCACTTTCGCGCTATGGCGGAGTTCCCATACACACTTGCTCTGTATTTCAAAAGTTAAATATTATATGAAAATATAATAAATATAAATAATTATACTGCTTAAAAGAACATTTATACCTTAAATTGATTGAAAATTTGCTCCTTCAGCGAGAATGGGAATTCACTCCAAGTCGCATAAGGGCCATCATAAAGCTTTTTGGTGGCTTTGGTGATTATTCTCGTAGTAATATTACTCGGGATGAACCTGGAATTTAACAAAAAAACACATAATATCTTAGTACAAACTGTACAAAACAACAAACGTAAAAATAACAAATAACTCTTACCCATCATCCTCAGGGACTATGATGATCCTGCCATATTAATCATAATGCACCTCCTCATCATCATCAGCATCATCGTACGAAGCATGTATATCAGAGGCATGTGTGGAAGGTGTATGGAGGTCAGAGCTACTATATCGCAGGCGAATGCCTGAAATAGATGGAGTCACTGATTAAGATGGTTGCGATCCCTGTGACTGCGACATAGCTTGATGGACCGCAAATGGCTGTGATACTGATGGTTGTGACCCGAGTGGCTCTGACCCGAGTGGTTGTGACATGGATGGATGTGATCCATGTGGATGTGCCATGGATGGATGCGATCTATGCGATGCAGATGGCTGCGATCCACGTGGTCGTGAGGCAGCTGGACTGTATGCCGGACGTATAGTCCTATGGCCCTGTGATGAAAGAACTGGTGTCTACATGAAGGTGTAGGGCTCGTGATGCTGTGGCAGCTCAGAATAGCCCTAGGGTGGAGGATAAGACATAAGAATCTCTGTAGAGGGTGGAAAAGAGGGAGTATCATTAACTAACCTCCTCTTTTCCTTCCTAGCCTTTCCTCGACCCCGAGAACTAGTAGGGTCATTGTTACCTCGACCCTTGCCTATCATCTGCATAATATAATACATATTTAGATTGAAACATATAAGAAAATAACTATAAAATGAGAGTTATTAAAGAAACCAACTTTTTAAAGCTCATCGACGTATTGTTCCTCGTCCGAGAATTCTTCTTCCTCACTAGTTTGAGCTTCATCAGTTGATTCTTCATCCTCATTTTCTATAATTGTTATTTTATTTATATCAACTTCATTCAATATGTGTTCAGGATGTTCCAAATCATTTTCTAAAAGTTCGTCCACTATTTGGTGAACACTGGAGATATCGTTTTGATATGCAACATCTAACACATTCTTGACTTCTACCCTACCTACAGGCTTAGTTTTTATTACAACTCACCAATTGAACTTATTCCGCAACAATGGATAATGAGCATTATACACTTGCCTAACATTATATGCAATTATGAAAGGACCATACTGATCATACTCCCTCGTATGATTAACCTCGATTATGTTGTATTGATTGTGTACTCTTGTACCTCTTGTTGGATTTGGGTTAAACCACTTGCATCTAAAGAGTATCAATTTCTTAAATGGCCAACCTGTATATTCTAGTTCTATTATTTTATTTGAGCACAACATAATAATCAATATCTCCAACTTGGTTGCCATCACCAACTTGAACCCACACCCGTTGTTGTTGCTATTTTTATTTTTAGAGCAATCCTCTGTATGAAACTTATAACCATTCACAATGTACTTAGACATTGTTGTGACCTGAAGCCCAGGTCCCCAAAATATATCTTTCAAAAATTGATCTACACCATTATTTGG